CATCAATGCCTCTTGCATAGAATTCTGTTGGCTGCTGGTAAAAAAATCCTTCGCCTTATTGTCCAATATGAATCTTTGCCCTTGTAAAGTTTTCTTGAGAGGTCCAAAAATGTGAAAGTCACATGGCAGTAGGTCAGGACTATATTTTGGATGTTCTAGTATCTCCCAGCAGAATTTCTGTAATGCAGCAATAGTTGTACTTGCCATATGGAGATAGGCATTGTCATGGAGAAGGATGACTTTTATGACAAGTACTGGGCGTTTTGACTTTATTGCTTTGTGAATCCATGATTGTTTTGCAATAGAATTCTGAGTTGATCATTGTGTATGGTGGCATAAAGTCAACTAACAGTGGTCCTTAGTGTGTGCCTGACCTGGTCTCAGTTTATCCTGAATTGACTTGCAACCTTCTCTGTAACTCTTGCACCAATTATTCACTTCTATTCACTGTCATTCACATTGTTTAAATTTTCACCATAAATGTGCTTCATTTATCTATAGATGTCAGCACTCCTATTCGCTTCAGTCACTAAAAACTGAACCACCACCCATTGTTTGATTCTGGACACTTCCATTGTAACTAACTTAATTTGCCAATTACTCAAGATAAAAATTATTTTTGCCAATATTTAATGCAGCCTGCGCTTCATCTATGTTGAACTTACCTGTCCGTAATGTGGCCCGCCAATCACTACTTTGCATGATGAAATATGACATGTGTCCACTTTTCAATTGGACAATCTTAATACATATCAAGGGTATGCAGTGAATGTAAAAACAATTTTGCAATTATGAGACCTAAGAATATTTACATTTAAGAAGTGTTATAAGTTTATTGCTTCTTCAGAAGATTGAGCTAACAAATATAGCCATATAGTTCTTTAACCAAAATTGTGAAGAACAGAATTATTGAACATAACAATTAGTGACAGATTCATTCAAATGATTTGACTAAATTATGCAAATCTGTAAAATTCTTTCAGCTAAATTCAAGGAATATAATTAACAGGCACAGGCACCATACTAACACTAAAACAATAATGTATGGTCATAGCTTGCTAATATGGCTGATTAGATTCAAGATCATCACTGTAAAGTAAAACAGCCTTTTTTTCCATTTGCATGTTCACATGAAAGCTTAAAAACATTTTATATCAATAAAAGGAAAATATTGTTAACTAATTATGATTGAACTCAAGAATCTCAATTCAAAATTTTTTAGAAATTTTCTTCTACTATATAGGAGTTCTAATCAGTGCACATAACTAGGCAGGTGCACCTGCACAGGGCCCACTTTAGAAGGGGGCCCAAAATGCATGTACAGTAAAACCTGTCTATGGTGACCACCCACGGTTCCTTCAAAAAGTGGTCTTTTAGACAGGTGGTGCCATAATACTGTATTTCTGTAAGTATTTTGTGCATTTTTTAGCCATTTCTACTAAGCAAAACTCGAGGTGAACAAAAATAAGCAAATTTTTTCAACGATAGGACTATATTAGTATTGTATTTTATTCTTATCAGATAACTCGATTTACAGGAGTCGTCGTGATTTTATAAGACAGATTTAATACAATAGTCGCATTTTCTTGATTATAATGCACACTTTCTTTTTTCCCACTTAATTAATTCAACTCGGTTGTTTTCATTCAATCCTCAGTTACGTGTATTACGTCATCGATATATAAACGTGTCATATCTCTACATCACTATGGTTTTGGTATTCATTAGTTTAATCTTATTTTAACTTTAAAAATACTGTATTTTTTAAATATTTTCTTAAGTACAATAAGAAAAATTAATAATAAAACGAATTTATTATTTTTGCTCATTATACAATTTCATTAATTCCACGATTGTCATTGCGGAATCGAAAAAGGAAGGTTGCCTGTAAAACTGATTTTTGCATTAATGCGTTTGTTTTTTGAATATTTTGCGTGCAAAAATTACTTGGATATTATTTTTCTAAAAATATCGTGGAAATAAGGTAGGTTGATACAGAAACTATTTATCCAAAATGTACTGTATATGAGCTTCAAAATAAATAAAAATAAATTTTATCAAATGATGAGATCAGCCGATTAATTGTATCATGTACAATATTTTATACCTCCAAGGAAAATACTGTATGTCTACGGTAAAATCAATTTCGTTTTCCCACAGTTAAACTTTGCCACTAATTGCTGTTGTGATAACACGATCTTCTAACGACAGCACTTTGCGTTTCTTTCGTTTTTCAAACAATTTCGAGCAAACTGAAATGAATTTCCTTTGTTGTGTAGTGCTCCACTACTATATGTATGTCCTTATTATATTATATATGTATTATTGTTCATTTTTGTTGTACTGGTTTTAAAAATTGTTACACAATATTGTTGTCTGTTGTCACGCACCGCCTTGCGGCCGGTAAGTCTTGTGCACGTTTATTGGCTAACATGGAATCACGTGTGTGTGTGTGGAAGTTCCCAGATGGAGGGAGGTTTAAAAGGAGGTACACCTGGTGGAACAGGCATTCTTTTTTTTTTTTTTCTTTCCTGAACTTGGAGGAGCAATTTGATCTCCCGAGTGAAGAAAAGCGGTAGGGAGTAAAGGGACGAAACAGGGAAACGGTAGCAATTTGCCGACCAGAGCTTTCGGGAAGGAGGAAGACAAATAGAAATGAAAATCTGTTTTCATCGACATAGGAACTTTGTCGAAATACATCAGATCCTCAACAGAAGAAATCCTAGTAAGTAGCAGAAGGTTACCCAAACATTATTTCATGAATAAGGTGAATTTCTCACCACATGTTTTCTGTGCCTTTGTTATCAGAGGGAGAGTGTAAGCCCCGATTTTAACGTGTATTCATGAGTGACCCACGAAAGGAGTATCATCTGAAAATATTTTTTGTAAATTCATAGTCGTACATCGGTTAAGTTTGATTCATTAAACTAATTTTTTTTAACTCATTCATCTGTGAAGTCCTCAGTTATTCTTATCCCAACCTAAAATTGGGGTTTGTTTTGACAGACCACGATACTACAGTTGCTAGACTAATTCATTAACACCTGCACCTAATTTCAAGGGTAGGAGAAGTGCCCGAGGTTGTTCGAATGAGAGTTTAGACTAATTCGTTATATTAGGAGCAGGGAAACGTTGTTGAGATGGGTTCGAGCAATAGTTTAGACAGATATATTCACAGAAGTGGTCGCTTATTACAGTTGTTGTTTGTTGTTTTGGACCAAAAATCTATGCCCGCGGTTGCGTTACACAAGTGGTCGTTTAATACAGGTAACTTATACTATTCAGTGCCAGAAATTTTTGCCCATTTTGACAGGTGCCCGTTGAATTGCCTAAGCAGTTTCACTGTATTTGTTTTATTATTTTCCCAAACCTAATTCATTAAGGGGCATAAATGCAAATTCTTGCACAGGGCAAAGGAATGGGCAGTTATGGCACTGGTTCTAATCATCTCATTTTTTAATTTTCTATCCAACATTTTTAANTATAAAAAATCTTGTTTGATTTGAGTCTAATCAAATCAGCCTGAAGAGGAGCGTTGTAAACTATCAAAAGTTGCTGCAATTTTGAATAAAACATTGGTTTCAATGGTGTAAAACAGAATATGTTACATCACTTACAGATATGTTACACTAACAGCATACATGATAACATAAACAACCCAGGATATCTTCAATTAAAAATTGAATTGTGACTATTTACAAAAAAATTATAACAGTTATTATAACAGTTAAAAAGTTATATCTCAGGATTAACTATTATAATAATTACTGCATTTCCCCGAAAATAAGTCTTAGCATGAGTTTTCAGGATGCTCGTAATTTAAGCCCTACCCCAAAATAAGCCCCAGTTAAGATCGTCAGCCAGATGGTCATATTTAATATATCTGTTGCAACCCACAATGGACATATTGAATTATAAAATAATAATTATAATATATAATTAAATATAAATAAAGTATTTGTAAATACCCAAGCTGGCACCTTTGGACAAAACATCCCCTGAAAATAAGACCTAATGCATCTTTTGGGACAAAAATTAATATACGACCTGGTCTTATTTTTGGGGAAAAACAGTTCTTAATTTAAATATTGGTTTGTTATTGACATTCAGAATTAAGTGGTCTTGAAGGTATTATTATCTTCAACATTTACATTGCATAGAAGTTAAAAATATAAATATAAACATTTTTTTTAACTCTGTTAAAAAAGCATCTTTGTCCAACTTTCAAAACACTATTAATTAAAAAGATTACACTATGACTAAGAAGGTAATTCAGTATTTTTAAACTCTATATCCAACTAAACATAGCAAGAAAATAAAGATTTTCTTTTATTTTCTCTTATTAGTAACCAAAAATATATCTTTTCATTGAAATATTGATCACTCCAAGTGTAAAGATAGACAACAATTTTATAAATTGTATATTCTGTTAATTAATTAATCAAAATAATGTTATGTCCCAAGTATATCAATAACTATTATCAGTTATTCATAATGTTACATGATCTTTTTTTTTATTGAATTGAAAAGGTTTCTGAAAACAAAGAAAACACTCTTTGAAACAGTTTTGACACATCCATGCACTTTCCTGAATATTTTGATTATTATTGAAATACTGATTTTACACAAATATAAAATTAGAGAAATTTGAACCAATAAAACATTCTTTTCTTTTCCTGATAGAATACTGATGTTCTGAAATACAACAAAAAAACATTCTGGTTGTCGTGCCAATATAATGGGTGTGCCCACCCGACATATTTTCCAATGGGATAGAATAAATAGCAAGGGCAGGGATCCTACTTCCATTCTTGAAAGATCGAGGGTTTATTCTATCCAATTGGAAAAATGTTTTATTATTGGCGCACCCATAATAAAACATTCTCTTTTACTTGTAAATATTTATATATTATAAAAAAATACTTAATAAAGTTTTAAAAAATGTATTTTGATTTTATAATATTTTCAGTTAATTTAAAAATTTTATAAATATTTTGCAGAAATGGAGCTAATTTTGCATTTAAACTCATTACATGGTTATACACAGGATCTCATAGCATGTTTGCTGAAGCAATTCATTCTTTAGCTGATACTTGCAATCAGGTAAATATTTAATCTTTACTTTTCTTGCTATTTGTAAAGAGCATAAATATTTTCATTCAGTTACAGGTTTTAGAAATGATTAAAAAAAATCATTGTAATCATTTTAAGAGTATTAAAAAAATAACAACAATTACTTTTTAAAAACAGAATTAATTAGTGTTTAAAATTTTTTATTAACCTATTTATTTTTTCCTTCAAACAGTATATATTACATAAATCATTTTATTATAAAAAATTAAATTCCATAGAAAATTGATTTATACATTTTTTTTAGATAATTTTAGCTTTCGGAATTCGCAAATCAATTCAGAGACCTGACGTGGACCATCCGTATGTTAATTTTGAATTTTAAAATATTTTTCATAAATTTAGTTAAATGTACTAAAGAAATTTTCCTGATACGTGTAGATATGGCTATCATAACATGAGATATGTTGCTTCCTTAATCAGTGGTGTTGGTATATTTTGCTTTGGAACAGGTATTTCTATCTACCATGGTATAATGGGCATTTTTTTTCCTGAAGTTATTGAATCTCTCTATTGGGTAAGTGTTAGAAACTAATAAGTTAATTTCAATAAATAAAAATTTCTTTGAAAATATTCTAGTTAATTCATACTTTAAAAATAATATAGACATTATTATAGTATTTTTATTCAGTACATTTCTTGTAACTTACTGAAATGATTAATTATATTAACAATCTAATAAATTACAATGTAAAACATTTAGCATTTTACAATATAATTATTTTTTATTAAAATATTTTGAGAAAAAATTAATTTTTTACCATTTGACATAGTATTAACACATTGCCATTGGATAGCTTTCTTGTTAATTTGCTACATTTTTCAATTTTTATATCTAATTTACTTAAAGAATTCAATGATTTTTAAAGTAAAATAATAATTATTTGGTCATCAGATGCCAATGTGTTAATAATGAAATTGTTTTCATTGAAATATAATTACATACTTATTACAGGCCTTTTTTATTCTTGGTGGTTCTTTAATTTCTGAAGGAGGTGAGTTAAAATTTTCTATAATTATTTAGGTCTTTATAAATAAATAAANCTAAGCAGTTTCACTGTATTTGTTTTATTATTTTCCCAAACCTAATTCATTAAGGGGCATAAATGCAAATTCTTGCACAGGGCAAAGGAATGGGCAGTTATGGCACTGGTTCTAATCATCTCATTTTTTAATTTTCTATCCAACATTTTTAACATTTTCTATCCAATCTTTACATTTTTCTGTATAACCAAAATGCCAATTTTCAAGGGCCCTTTTTTCCAGCTGCATTAAAACTCATGCTTTTATAGTGTATAATTTCTACATAAATTTCTGACATTGTGATTCAATAATTAAGTACTCTGAAGGAGGCCTGCTCGATAAGGTAAATTGCCTAAGCAGTTTCACTGTATTTGTTTTATTATTTTCCCAAACCTAATTCATTAAGGGGCATAAATGCAAATTCTTGCACAGGGCAAAGGA